AATCCTGACAATCTTTTAAAAACATATGTAGGGTATTCAGTTTTCTACAGATGACTGCATAAATTTTTTTGGTTAAAATAATGCTTGAGGACCTCCCCAGTGGCGCAGCGGGTTGAGCGCAGTGCTGTGAAGCTGTCTGCAGCCTCTGCGGCGCCGGTTCAATTCCTGCCCGGCCTGGGGAGAATCCCACATGGGATTCACATGGGGCAGCAGACCTCTCCTGTTTCCCCCACTCTTTCCTCAGCAGTGTATTTCAGTCCTTCTGCCTGTTCTGCTCCCTGCTCTGTCTCTGGTGGATTCTCTCACCCTCCCACGCCTCTGGCCTGTACCCCAGTGCTTGTGTAAATAAATAAATCTTTTAAAAATAAATAAATAAAATAATGCTTGAAAATTTGTGAAAATTTTGTATAGTGTGATTGGAGTCTGAGATATTCTGCTGTTGAAGGTGCCTGCTTTTCAATTCCTAGGAGTAATGTAACAAACATCATTAACTAGGGGGTTTCAAACCATAGATACTGATTCTGTCACAGTTTAGGAGGCCAGAACTCTGAAATCATGGTGTGGGCAGGATGGTGTTGGCTTTTGCGACCTCTAGGGAGGAGACTTTGGTGTTCTGTGACTTGGGGCAGCACAGCTTCAGTCTCCACCTCCATCTTCACCTGGTGTTCTCCCTAAGTGTCTCTGTGTCTTCACACAGTCATATTAGATTAAGGGTCTACCCTACACCAGGATGACCTCATTTAAATTAATTAACTAATTAATTAATTATATCTCCATTGACCCTAATTCCAGATGTCATAATCTGAGGTACTAGAAGTTAGGACCTGAACATATCTTCTTGGGTGGATACCCTCAAGGGTACCTAAGCCTGATTCTCTTGTTTTATAGGTAGTAACTTTTATTTTTATTTATTTTTTTAATGGATTTTTTTTTTTTAAAGATTTATTTATTTTTTATTTATTTATACAAGCACTGGGTACAGTCAGAAGCGCGGGAGGGTGAGAGAATTCACCAGAGCCAGAGCGGGGAGCAGAGCAGGCAGAAGGACCGAAGTACACAGCGGGCGGCAGGAGAGGTCTGCGCGCCATGTGGGACCCTCCTCCGGTGGCCGGGGAGCAGCTGGGGATTGAACCAGTGCTGCAGAGACTGCAGGCAGCTTCACAACCCAGCGCTCAACCGCTGCGCCACCGGAGAGGCCCGGTAGTAACTTTTAAAGTAGGGTTATTTAGATTTGAGTGAGATGTATTTACGTGTTCGTTAGAATTATTGTAAAAGTAGAAATACTGTCTTTCCATAAATGATGAAACATGCACATTCTTTTTTTTTTTAAGATTTATTTATTTATGCATACAAGAATTGGGATATAGGCCAGAGAGAGAGTGTGTGTGTGTGTGTGTGTGTGTGTGTGTGTGTGTGTGTGTGAGAGTGTGTGTGTGAGAGAGAGAGAGAGGATTCACCAGTGATAAGAGTGAGGAGCAGAACAGGCAGAATGAAATACGCTGCTGAGAGGAGCAGCGGGCAAGATAGGAGAGGTCTGCTGCACCAAGTGGGTAGCTCCCTGGCTGACTAGGGTTCGAACTCGGGGATCGAATTCGTGCTGCAGAGGCTTCAGACAGCTTCACAGTGCTGTGCTTAACCCCTTGTGCCACCAGGGAGGCTCAGCATGAACATTCTTTAAAGTTGAATCAGTGCACAAAAGAATCAACTCTGTAAAAGAATCTGCCATATGTTGTGATATAAGGGTTGATAAGATCTGGTTATTGTTTTAAGAGAAGTTAGTTTATTGACATAATCTGAACTTTGTGCTCCCAAAATAAACTTAAGTGAAGTATCACTGATACTGTTTTTGGATGCCTTAATTGTAAGTATCAGTAGCTTGATAAGTTCGAGAACATCAAGAATTAATGTCGGAATCCTGACTATAACGTTGGTCTCTGATGCATCACTTTTCATGTGCGAGCTTGCTCTCTCACTCAGAATGTACAGTTTAAGATTATCCCAAAGGTTTTTCAGTGTACCCTGTGCTTATGATTTTAATATATACAATGGCTGTGGGTATTTTTTCTTGGTGACTCTGCAGACATTAAATGTGAATTCTCCCTGGAACAATAGAAAATCAGTTTTAGTTTAATAGAGGTGATTACTAAAATCTCAATCTCCGAAAGCAGCTGGTCCCCAGAGACAATGTTGTGGCGCCTCTGTAGCCTGCTTTAGTTTCCCTTGTAACCTTCATAGTGTGTGGTTATCTCCAGAGATTTCAGACTGCCTTGCGCTCAGGGTGCCTCAAAGGGTAGAAATGATTGGAGGCTCACATTCAAAGAAGGTAAATGTTTTCAGGGACACTCACTGAATCAGGAGGACAATTGTGATTTTACCTAAGAAGTCTGTGTCACAACCCAAAGTTCTTTCAAGCCGTGAATTATTCATACGCATGTATTTTACTGATGGTGGGATATGTCTCTAATGATAAAAGATTTTTTTCAGAGAAAATTCTTGAATTAAAATTCCCATTCTGCGTTAAATTGACATCTAATCAGCCACTCAGCTCAGCTTGAAGCAAAGGGTATCGTGTTATCAGGTGATTGCTTATTTACAGTGCCCTGGTTAGGTTAGCCTTGCCAGCAGTATTACCCTACAGATGGGCAGCATGAGCTCAATTATGGGCATCTACCCAGGAGTATAGTTTTGTTTTTCTGGTTGCCTTTCTTTCAGGAAAGATATACTGAACCTGAAAATGTCTAGAAACTGAAAACTGTGATGTCAGGGATGAGGGCAGAATAGATTTCCTTTGAGAACAGGTTAAATTGCTTTATTACATATTTCTGTAAATAAAGGTTGCATCAAGAAAAGGACATGGGGAGGCGTGATAGAGAAGGCGCAGGCAGTTGAGTACTGACTATGACAGGTAATTTACATTAAAGATTTTACTTTGTTAAGTGGTTAATGTCAAGTCTTAGAATATTTTTTTGATTGATTGATTTATTGATTTATACATACATACATACATACAAGCACTGGGTACAGTCAGAAGCGCGGGAGGGTGAGAGAATTCACCAGAGCCAGAGTGGGGAGCAGAGCAGGCAGAAGGACCGAAGTACACTGCTGAGGGGAGCAGCGGGCGGCAGGAGAGGTCTGCGCGCCATGTGGGACCCTCCTCCAGTGGCCGGGGAGCAACCGGGGATCAACCGGCGCTGCAGAGGCTGCGGGCAGCTTCGCAACCCAGCTCTCAACCGCTGCGCCACCGGGGAGGCCCCAAGTCTTAGAATATTTTTCTATACCAAATTTATAAACCTAATATCTGTTAGATGGTAGGATATAAGAGAAAGTGATTTTCTAAACGCTGGTATTTTTGTTGATTCCTAATTTGTAAACCAGCTTGTTACAGAAAAATTGGGTATCATCTTAGGAGGTGCTTCAGTGGTGGTGGTGGTGGTAGAGATCAGAAGATTATTTTTTGTTAATTTATTTTATGTGCCATTCCCTAAGGAGTTTGTACTAGCTGCAATGTTTCATTGCACTTTCTCTGGTGTATTTTTTTTTTAAGAGACAGCTTAGTTTAGGTTTTACCATCTCAGTGAGTGGTAATGGTTCACTTAGAAGAGAATAAATGATGGACCTAAAAAGAAACCATTTTTTTTACATCGTTTAGCATCTTAAAAATTTGGTTTCTTTCTAGATTGAGGAAACTTTAAATAGATAAAAAGGCATTTGGGTCCTTTTGTACTTTTCTTCTTATAGATCTTTAATGAACTCAAACCAGAAAGTTCTTTTCTTAGCTGTTAAAAAGGAACCAGAAAATTATTCCTTTTGAGTCAAAAAAAAAAAAAAGGTCACAATACAAATTTGATATTATTCTTTGGTAACTAGTATCCTAAAGCATAGGCTCATTCAAAAAATTCTTTCTGTTACCATTTATTTGCTCCTCCAACCTGCAGTTGGAATCAAATCTCTACTTGATTTAAAGAGGCTTTTAAAAAAAAAAAATCAAATTTGCAGGTTACAAAGGTATTTTTGTTTGTTCTATAAATATTCTAAAAGTTTTCTGACCTTTTTCCTTTGTGCAATGTCTTTTCTATCTCTAGGCAACAGGAAAGGATAAATTCACAGAGGGAAGAGATAGAAAGACAACGGAAAATGTTAGCAAAGCGAAAACCTCCTGCTATGGGACAGGCCCCTCCAGCAACCAATGAACAGAAACAGCGGAAAAGCAAGACCAATGGAGCTGAAAACGAAACGTATGTTCTTTCTTGAGCTGAACTGTGAGAGACCACATTGTCTCCTCTTACACGTAGTCCTTGCCGTCGCCCACCACCATAGTCTCGTGTGTTCTTCCCGCCTCTAGCCTCTGTTTTGAACCCGCCCTTCTCCCCTCCTCTGTGCCTCAGATCTGTGGTAAGAAAGAAAAACTAGGTTATAAACACAAAATATTTTCTTTTCTTTCTTTTTTTTTTTTTTTTTTTAAAGATTTATTTATTTATTTATACAAGCACTGGGTACAGTCAGAAGCGCGGGAGGGCGAGAGAACCCACCAGAGCCAGAGCGGGGAGCAGAGCAGGCAGAAGGACCGAAGTACACTGCTGAGGGGAGCAGCGGGCGGCAGGAGAGGTCTGCGCGCCATGTGGGACCCTCCTCTGGTGGCCGGGGAGCAGCCGGGGATAGAACTGGCGCTGCAGAGGCTGCCGGCAGCTCTGCAACCCAGCGCTCAACCGCTGCGCCACCGGGGAGGCCCAACACAAAATATTTTCTTTCAAAAAGTCCAAGTAGGAACCAAGATTTGAAAGATTGTTCAGGCAAACGTGGTACGCATGAATCAATCGTTGTTGTCTTTAGTGACTCATTTTTTGTAGCAGGTCTCGACATGAGTGATCAACCCTTTGAGAATTGTGTTTAAGTAGCATTTTACAATTGATAGATTATTTTTACATTCTTATTTAATAGTCACAACAACTTTATTAGATATCATTATTTGATGCATTTCTAGGAAACTGAAACTGAAGAGCTTAAAGTTGCTTTCTGAGGGTCATAAGGCCAATGGTACAAGTTGTACTTGGAGACCTAGTACTTGGATTCCAAATCCTGAACTCTTTCTACTAGGTCACTTTTCCCCTTTCTGTTGTTGCATCAAGAATTATCAAATCCATTGGCTTATTATTTTACCCTTTAGAAATGTTTAAACATACTTATTTTTCTCATAAATTAGACTTGTGACTTTGCCGCCTTTTTTTTTTTTTACGGTTTTTACAAATATTTTGTTTATTTTAGTGAAGCTGGTACAATGTCCATTTAAAACCCATATCCCAGGCCAAAGAGTACAAATAAAATAAAAAAGAGCAGTGTTTTGCTGCATACACTTCTGCATGAATAACTTTAACTGCTAATGAAAACTTTTCTGGGATCTTCTGACAATTTGTTCTTTAATCTTAAAATGTTTTCTCTTCAGTGAAGCCAGCTTTGGAGTTAGTCATTATTCTCACCACATCTGTTATCTCCAACCTCATATTCCTCTTCTCTTGGTCCAGGACCCTCAGACTTTTGAAGTAGCTTCAAGTTAAGGAAAGGTCATTTTTCCACAGTTCGGTTCTCTGAAAAACTTCCATCTCCCACTGAAAGTCATAGTCTAGGAGTGAAGCAATCACCTCCTAGAACTTCAGGGCTAATTGGAAAGTCATTATGAACACTCGCATTGGTTGATCTTACTTATCACAAGCATGAAAATGAACAGTCCTGGAAAAGGTGGCCTCTCTGTACACATGTGTCATTTTTTTTGAAGGAGAGGGCAATATGAAGGGGGCTGAGGTTTGAGCACCAAAAATCAGCACAATGAAAACAAACTAATGAATAATGGGCACTAAAATTCAAATTTCCGGGTGTTTTAAAGAGATGGGGTGCCAGTTTTCAATTGTTTGAACACCACATTACAAAAGAACTATTTTTAAAAATAAAAAAGGATTAAGGGAAAAGGAAAAAAATAAAAAGAATATCTAAACCTTTGAATGACCCCCGTTTGTTCCCGATTAACTTCAATCACATCTTCCTCCATTCCCAGTTCTTTTGGAGTGTGATTATCAGCAATTCTCTGACCTTCAAAGAGAAACCTGAGTGAATTCATTGGAACTCCCTGTCTTTGACAGTACGATTCTTGGAGTTTCTTGAGATTTGTCGTCATTTTCACTTTGAAGTGAATCTCACTGCTATCCTGTCCAATAACTTTGAGTTTAATGTATTCTCCTTCCTTCTTATCGCCCAAGTCCTCAGTTGAAGGTTTTGCCTCCTGATCAGACATGGTGGCGGCGGCTTTACCCCGGGTCTCCGCACAGCAGCGGCCTCGGGCTGGCAGAACCTCGCTCTGGGGTTTACAAATCCGTCTCTCTTGCCCACAGCACACCACCACGGCTCTGAATGCCTTCTTGACATTACATCTAATAGATTACAGACTTTTTTTGTCAATGGACTGCAGATAACCTGTCTTCTAGACAAGTAAGAGATTGACACTACAGCAGTACAGTAGAGCTTGTTTCTTACTGAACTTTCTACCATTATTTTCCAGGTTAACATTAGCAGAATACCATGAACAAGAAGAAATCTTCAAACTCAGATTAGGTCATCTTAAAAAGGTAAGTGTAATGAAAAAAACCTGTCTGGAAAAATACAATTTTTGATTCACATTTGGTGTTGAAGCTGTTTGGTAATTTGGGCAAATGTAATTGTCTCACACACCTGCAAAAATTTGAGTATTGTCACTGTCAAGTCTTATTTTAGTGGTGGAATTTGTTTATTTTGAAATCGGCTCCAGCCATTGAGTCAGTCAGAGTGCTTTTTGCACCAGTGGTATACTAGTAGATAATTTTGTACTCTTCATAAGGGTTCATAAGTGGTTAACTTTACAATAAAAATTAAATATAAAATAAGAACAGATGGTTCTAAAATTGATACTAAAACTCATGGTATTTAGAATCACATAGCAGCTTTTAATTCTTGCTCACACTAGCTAAGAAGAGAAGCTCTTACACCAACCATATTGTAATACAAGGGCACCTGTATTTGTTGTTGACGATGTTCTTTGAAGCTTCTTAGATGTAAATTGCTAATCTTTTAAATTTAATAGTCCCTTTGTTTTGAGTGGGTGCTGTTTTCTCAGATCTTGTCAAATCATTGGAATTTAAGACACTAAGTATAACCTGTACTTACAGAACATAACCAAATAGAGAACCTGATTTTTGTAAAACAATGATTGTGTACCTATGTGTATATATAGCATGTTTCTTGAAAACTGCAAGAAGCTCAACAGTTGTTATATCTGGAGAATGGGCAATGGAGTGCAATGAGTTGGGGGACAGATGACTTATTATTTTGTTATAGGCTTGTTTTTTCTGATTAAAATTCTAATTCTGAGAAAATATCTTTTTCATTACAAAATTTATCTTCCTTTAGCTTTTTATAAATATACGCTATTACTTTTGAAATGAGATTGTATCTTTTGAGCTGTTTCTTTCTTTTTCAATATAGGAGGAAGCGGAGATCCAGGCAGAACTGGAAAGGCTAGAAAGGGTTAGAAATCTACATATCAGGGAACTAAAAAGGATACATAATGAAGATAATTCACAGTAAGCAAATTGGGGGTATACTGGGCTGGAGATTGTTGAGCACTTTCTGACATGATCGTGAATGATGTTTTTGCTTCGATTCTCGAGTGTTTAGCTCTATTGTAGGGTGTAATAAAGTTTTATGAACAAAATTGTAATTTGCTTTAGTTAAAAAAATATTTTTGAGCTGTTTGTGTGTGTGTGTATCTGAGACAGCATTTTGCATGAACAGAGGTCATTGCAGTCATAGTTGGGATACACTGTTCAGGTTTTCCTACAGAGTGGTTAGACAGTGCAGAAAGAGTATTGGGTTGAAATGTCACCCACTTTCAGAATGACCTTTCAGCCAATTGACTATTGAGGTTTTTAACAAGATCCTTTTCAGCTCAGCACGTTTGTAGATAAATGTCCACTTTTGTTTAGAAGTCATTTAAGGGGTTTAAACTGGGAGAATTAGAGTGTAGGAAATGGTTTCTATCTGTAGTTTGTTCTTTCCCACATTTTTGTGACTCTGAAAATTTTTGTTATATAACTACAGCTTGTTTGTTCATTGTGAGCCACGGAATTTTCTTTCTGTAAAATGCCAGGCAGCAGTAGTTTGGATTCCTGAGAACTCTGTGCCAATCATAGTACTCTGTGCCTTTATTTAGTTTTCTTTCATTTACATTTTACAATAATCCAATGAGGCAGCTCATCTTTAATATTTAGACTGAGAAACAGGCTTAAAGAACTTGAGTTAACATGATCAGAGACACATACCTAGTATGACCAAGCAGTTAAACTTGGATCTGACTCCAGAACTACCGTTACAGACACCATAATGTCATCTCCCAGGCATGCGGCTGTATCAAAATCAATATAAAGTAGTTCAGTATTAATAATTGGGCTGCATAAAATCAGGAACTAGGTAGAAATATTTTTAAACTTATTTTGCTTGGAATCTCATTTCCTTGTATAGAAAATGATACAAGGTGGAAATCCACATGTGGGAAACAGTTTTATCATGAATACTTTCTGTCTTAAAGAGAGAAAACAAATACACATAGAACATGTGACTTACTTTTTTTTTTTAAGATTTATTTATTTATTTATACAAGCATTGGGTACAGTCAGAAGCGCGGGAGGGTGAGAGAATTCACCAGAGCCAGAGCGGGGAGCAGAGCAGGCAGAAGGACTGAAGTACACTGCTGAGGGGAGCAGCGGGCGGCAGGAGAGGTCTGCGCGCCATGTGGGACCCTCCTCTGGTGGCCGGGGAGCAGCTGGGAATCGAACCGGCGCTGCAGAGGCTGCGGGCAGCTTCGCAACCCAGCGCTCAACCGCTGCGCCACCGGGGAGGCCCAATGTGACTTACTTTTTAATCACATTTGTTTTTAAGGACATGTAAAATATCATGGATTTTTTATTCTGCATAGTTTTGGAATGGTGGGAGCACATGGCTGTGAAATGTTTGCAGGAACCAAATTGCACAGTTTAAAAATCCCTGATAAAATGTAGTCTGCCTCCTCACTTTATAGTAGAAAAGAAAGGAGGGAGATCAAGATAGGTCACAGATCTAATTGTGACTCTGCTGACACTAGCACTTCTATCACATGGCTCTACTGCTAATGCTGTTCGCTTTGATTTTGCTGTCTCTGAACTATGTAATTTTATGCTTATAATTAGCTATATTGGTATTGATTGCCAGACAGTAAGCCCCCACTATAGAGGTGTGAGTAACATATTAGATGCTCTGGGAATTTTGCAAATATAGAAGATTATGTAGGCCTTGACCTCAGATTGTGACATATTCTTTATTTTACAGATTTAAAGATCATCCAACGCTAAATGACAGATATCTGTTGTTACACCTTTTGGGTAGAGGAGGTTTCAGTGAAGTTTACAAGGTAAGTATGAGGAATCAAGTTTAAAGATTTAAGGTTAAATATTTGTTATTACCAAGTTGGAAAACATTTAGACTAGTGATGACTGTGGATTGATGTCTATTAGTTGAAAAATGAAAACTTCAGGAACGTTTATGTTCTTAAACTTATTTCTTCCAGTAAACTTAAGGGACTGAGCAGGATACAATAATTTACCCTCTTATCAAGTTTGAAAAATAAAGATTTTTTTTTTTTTTTAAAGAAAAAAGTAAGTGCTCGTTTCTAACTAGTAGTGGAATTTCATTGTATTTTATTCTGGCTTTGTACTTACCGCTTCATCCACATTTGCTAGAAATGTTTTAACTTTATTCTCATAAAGTTCCCCCCCCCCCAACAAAAAATATACTCATTGAAATTGTTATTGAAAACCTGCTTCTTGTTTAAAAAAATTTTTTCATCATCTAAGTCAGTGTTTAGTAACCTGGCATTCTGCAGGCAATTGGAGGCCATCCACCTGGTCAGCAGAGTATGGATACTGTGTTCCACCAATGGATTTTTACCAAATGAGAAATTTAGCCATTTTTATATAGCTACGGATCTATAACAAGTTCACCAGCCATGGTTTCCATAAATTTTTCTAGTTGTTTCTGGTACCTGGCTTTTAAATGTAAAATTGGTTTTTTAAGTGGTCTAAGTGCAGCTTTTACTTATGATTCAGGTTATGTTTGTATGACTTCGTGTTTGGGAAATTTTGAGTAAAATAATTAGCTTTCATTTCAAATAAAATCAGTAAAAACTAGTTATATCTTTTAATTTTTTTTGTTAATTATGTTTGTTGTGGCGATAAATACATAAAATTTAGCACTTTAGCCATTTTCTAGGTGTATAATTCAGTGATACTAAGCACACTCACAGTGGTGTACTACTATCATCACTGTCCATTTTCAAAACTGTAACATTCTTCATGTACATCTGGGTTCATTTTCTTGATATTTCTTAAGTAGGATTGGCCCATAGTTGTTTTTGTGTGCAAGTGGCATTGTCTAGCTTGAATGTCATAGTTATCCTAGGACAAGTTTTCTTTTCCTGTGTCCTGAAATGCATTGTCTTATCCAGATTGTTAATTCCTTGACAGCTTCTTAGAGCTGACTCATAAAACCACTTGAGTAGGTATCATCTTAGAGGAAGATATTTGACCAGCTTTTCAGTTCCTTATACAAATAGTGATCTGTCAGATTTTTCTCCTTCCCTTCTTAAGTCAGTTTTAGTAATTTTAAATATTCTGGAAATTCTATTTCAACTTGATTTAAAAATATTACCCATATCTTATAGACCGTAGGTTAATCATTTTTCTTTCCTCTGTGAATCAACTTTTTATTTTGGTGATCATATCTACTGTTTGATTTTTCTGTTTCATTACCTTCTGCTTTTATTCCTTTCCTCTGCTTTTTTTGTTTTCATTTTTTGAATCCGATCCTTTATTTTTTAATTTTTGCCTTTAATCCATTTTGAGTTAATTTTGTATGAAGTGAGAGATGGTGATCTAGTTTCTTTCTTTCTTTTTTTTTTTTTTTTTGGCATGTAACTCTTCAATTTTCCCAACACCATTTATTGAAGAGACATTCCTTTTTCCACTGTATAGTTTTGGCTCTTTTGTCTTAGACTAGCTGTCCATATATGTGTGGGTTTGTTTGGGCTCTCATTTCTAGTCCATTGGTCTGTGTGTCTGTTTTTAGTCCAGTACCATACCATTTTGATTACTGTAGCTTTGTAGTATAGCTTGAAGTCTGAGGGTGTGATGCTACCACTTTTCTTTTTTTTCTCAGGATTGTTTGGCTGTTTGGGGTCTTTTATGGTTCCATGTGAGCTTTAGTGATGTTCTTTTGCTTTGAAGCCTTTATAGAGCTTTAAAGGATTTTTAACAATGTTGATTATTTCAATCCATGA